AAAAAAAAAATTTTTTTTTAAAAATAAAATTTTGAAGGCTTGAGTGGCCTGAATGCCAAAACGACATCGTTTTGGCCTTTTTTTTTTCTTTCTTTCCTCTTTTGCATAGTAACTCGAGGAATTTTGCTGCTTAAGTACTTTAATTTTTTCAAGGACCAAATGTATTTTCCTTAGTTATGGTTCGTTAGTTTGTTCCACACTTTTGACTTACCCTTCTTTAACTGAAGCAGATTTATTGTTATTTATGGATCAAGTTGGGATAATACTTTAGATTTTTTTTTTCTTTAGCAGACGGTATAAAGAGAAAAAGGAAGAAGTGGCAGAGACGGAGGTTGATCCTTAATTATATTCTCCATCTTTGGCAAAAAGCAAGACCTCTCCACCACTCTCCTCTCTCTCACCTAAGGCTGCTTGAGGACCTGGGCTCTCAACTTCTTCTTTGCCATCTCAAATTTTCAGAAAGCAGCTTTTTTGTATTTTTTTGCCACATGATGACAATCACATTCACAGATTTCTCTCTGTCTCTATGTAGGTTTTTTGTTTTCATATTTACACTCTTGATTGTTTGGGCATAAAATGCTTTTTGCATTTTCTAGCATTTGGTACAATAGAAAACAAAATGTTTTTTTATTCTTTTTGCTTTTTCCTTCCACGATTTCAAATAACTACCTTAAAATAGTTATTTCAAATCCATCATTATAGAACTATTCAATTCAAATTTAAAATTTATAGATGAATTATCAAACCTAAATTCGAGTTATCTTCCATAAATGATTAATGCCAAATCCATGCATTCCAAATCCTTAAATACAAACGGAACCTAATAGTCTGAACTTTGTTATTTCTTTCAGGGGCGATGTTGTGCAAGTCAACAGTTGGGTAGCTACGTCTGGAAAGAATGGTATGCGGGGTGATTGGATTGTCCATGACTGCAAAACAGGGGACATTCTAACAAGAGCTTCCAGGTAGGAGCTTATTTAAACAAATCTCATGACTTTTATATGGTTGTCATAAGTTATGCGAGATTCACGTATAGCCACAATATCCTTTCATGAAAACTATATCAGCATGTTTATTGCCTTGGAAAAGGGTGCATATATTATTCTGTTATATTTGAACAAATAAAATTACAAGATATTGTTGAATATATGTAAACTAGTTTAAAGTGAACAATATCTGACCTTCACATCCCTCCTGATAATATCCATAAGACTGGTTTGGATTAGGTAGATATCCCCCGGAGCATGGTAAGCCATGGATTTTTAGTGTCAAGAATAACATATTCTGAAACTTAGATTAAATTACTTATTGACTGACCAGACTTTTTATTATTATTTATTATTATGGTGACTTTGGTTGGTTGCAGTGTCTGAGTGATGATGAATAAAGAGACACAGAGGTTATCTAAGATACCAGATGAAGTTAGAGTGGAAATAGGTCCTTATTTTGTGGATTCACCTCCTGTTCTGGACGAGGACAGCAGAAAATTACCAAAGCTTAATGAAAACATCATAGATTATATTCGTATTGGTTTAACTGTAAGTTAAAGAATTTGATGGTCATGATTATTTGCCTCTGTTATGCAGCATATGACTGCTTGGTGCTGCTCGAACCTTGGTTTGTTGATATGATTTGTGCATTTTGAATTGATCAACCTAAACGGAGTGATTTAGATGTCAACCTGCATGTTAATAATGTGAAATACGTTGGCTGGATTGTTGAGGTAAATCTCTTTTCTTTCTTTTGATGTTTTATCTATTTGATTTCTCTGGTTATTAACTTTATTAGCTGTCCCATGAAATATGGTTTGTGATGCCTATTGGATGCTCTGTTCAAACCTAATATCATGCTCTCTGGCCAGCCTCTTCTTGGTCAGCCAGTAATGGTTAAACCATCTGAAGCTGAAAAAAATCTGGTTAAATTAAAAAGGATCATATCATTGGATTGTTAGCTCAATTGATGGTGCGATAGGGCTATTTAAGTGTTGAATAAACTTTTAAATGTGATGAGACCATAAAGAAAGGATTGGTTTTCCCTCAGCTGATGATTTTTCTTTAGTTTTTCATGTATGAATGTCTAAGTTGATTGGTTTACTTTTTGGGTTGAAAATTTAGCCCTAAATCTGGATGCTTTTAACATAATGCATCTGACCTTACTAAATGATAAAAGTGTTCTTTTTTTTATTATATATATATATATATCTTTTCTGAATCCCAGATTAGGAACGAAAAACGGACCTTAGAAATTGGTTTGGTTGGAGATAGAGTAGGAAAATGCCTGTCACTCGTGCGTAAGTTCCAAGTTCCATATTTTCCCCCTCTGTGCATAATGATGAATTCAAACATAATTTCATGATGGGGTAACTGTTTATGCTATGGAGATTCGCAGGTACATAAAAGAAAATTATCTTATTTTGAATGTTATAGTTTGAAGTAAAATATGGCTTGATTCCATTAGTTCTAAAATTTCATGTTTTATGTGCACTAGCAGAGCATTTTTTGAAAGGCTCTTGGAAATTTGATGTTGTTAGTTAGAATATATATTCCAATAATGTGGTCATACATTACAACACAAGTTCATCATATAACTTTGGCAACATCACTCTCCTCAAAACAATTTTTGTATCCCAGGGACTGAGTGTTAAAGTCCTTGTTGTTTTTTAGGTAGAATTAAATTTTCAAAATTGACATTGAAAATATTTGAGAAAAACTCTGTTCTTACATAATGTTGATACACAAATGAAGACCAAAATAATACAGTAGTGTATTTTTCGAAAATTTTAAACCACGATGATGGAATTTTTGTTTTGAAGTGATACGATCAAAAGATCTATCATATCATTGTGTAATAATTTTCTATATGAAAATTTTACTGAGTAATGCTAGAATGATCAGTTTTGTATATAAATTTACTTGACATTTGATGAAAAAAAAGTACTGTTATACAAATAAAACTACATAGAAAATCAATACACATGTAATCAGGTGGCAACTACTCAGCTTATCATTACAACAAAAGACTATTGAATTTTTAAGATTTCCAGAGAAACATTATTGAGGTTGTAAATTCTGTATAAAATTTATGTCAAAACATCAAGATTTAGCTTTAAGTGTTTCTTTTGGTTGACAGGGGCACACACCATAGGGATTTCTCACTGTACAAGCTTCACCATAGGGATTTCTTCTAGCTATTGCCACGGGTTTAGGTGCCTTAATACATACATTGGGTAGCCTTGTCCCTATGATAGGAGTAAGTGGATTTGCTACAGCTGCAACTGTAACTGCAACTGCTATAGGAACTGTTGTCGGTAGTTTTAGATAGTCTCTTAATAGTTGTCGATATGTTTAGAAAGTTAGATATGCATAGTACCTGTTTGGTGCAGCTTAAAAGCTGCTTATTTCAGCTTTCAGCGTAATTTAAGCTATTTTGATGTGTTTGGTTTAGCTTATAGCTTATAGCTTATAGCTTATAGCTTATAGATTTTTGAAAGTCAGAAATCAGCTTATTCTTTGAGTGGGGCAGGAGATGCTTAATTTATAAGTCAGAAATCAGCTTATGTTTATAGTTATAAGCTATAAGCTGTTTTGGCATAAGCTATAAGCACTTTCCCATAGCTCTACCAAACAGGGCCATAGTTTTGAATGATTTAAACTTTTTGTACAGTTTAGAACTTAAGAATATAGTTTTCGAATGCTTAGAATGTATAGACAATTGTTGAATGTTCATAATTTATGGATATAGTTTCTTTTTGATGTTTCAAACAATATTTTGTTGGTTGTTTGATGTTTTGTAATGCTTGTTTGTAATATTTGTTAGATTGTACATAATTGGTCAAATAGAACTTACTGAATTTTTTTTAAAAAATTGTATATTCTACGGCAGACATAATAAGTCGTATTACATATTTTACAGCGCACAATCAGCGTCGTTATTTGTCTCACCAATTAACGGCGTGCAAAAATAGCCGTAGAAAAAGTAACAATGACGCATAAAATCTGTCGTTAAATAGTTTTTAACGGTATGCTATAGCATGTCGTAGAAAAAGTAACAACGACGCACAAAATTTGCCGTTAAAATAGTTTTTAACGGTGTACGAAGCATGTCGTTGAAAGTGAATGACTTTCCATGACTGGTCATAATATGACGGACGCTGCATTTTTGTTGTAGTGATGGCAATATCATTTTTTATTCATATGATTAATAATTTTTGCTAAAAATGCAGTAGTGTCATGTGAATATGAACCTTAAGAGAGTCTAATGTAACATTTCTTTCTATGTTTGGTTCATTAGAATGAAAGTGAATAGAATGAAATGTTCATTCCTCATTTCATTTACAATATATTTTTTAACATTTCTTTAGTGAACTAAATATGATGATGAACATTTTTATAGAATAACTATTCTGGTCCACTTTAATTTTAATGAACTAAACCTACCTCATGTTACTAGACCTTTTAGATATGAGAAGACCTTTTAGATCCTGAACAGAAATTAGTCTTCATATCTTCTTGTTTAAATCTTGCTTCTGTGCTTATGTTTGTGCAGGCTGTTGTGTGGTATAGTTTGGGGGTGAAAAATGCTTCAAAAGTTATTAGACTCCACCTGTCTATCCATCTGTCTTTTCTACCTACTAACAGAAAGGAATGCAACCTAGAATGTAGGAAAATATGCAAAAAGGTATAAAAGTAAAAGTTTTTAGAGTGGTTTTAAACTAACTTGCTGAATGTTCAAAGGTATAGAAATGGATGATGGTAGGAGAGGTGACCCCTTGGATCTCTCAACACAAAGTATTCTCATTAAAATATATAGAAATTAACAAATTCCTTTCCATTAATTGAAGAACAGCAATTTACCAATTCCTGGATGTTTTGTGATAATTTACCAATTTATGGGTGAAAACTGCTCAAAGGTGAAAGTTTTTCAAGAATTGTATGTAAATGTTTTTATCACTACTCATTAGTTAATATGTTCAAAACATCAATGTGTCCATCATTTGACAAATTTAAGTCCAATTAAACAACCATTTCACAAAATTGAAACACGATGAAATTTATTGAAACTCAAATTTCAAAATTCTGGATGTCTAATGACACTAGGGTAATGCCCTTTTCTTTTTCTTTTTTTAAGAGAGCATCATTACAAAAATAAATAAATAAATAAAAATCCCAACTAGGTGACTCATGCTACTAAGCCAATCATATGCTTAAGCCAAAGGCCAACAACCCCTAAAACACCTACTAAGACGGATGCAGAACAATGACCAAGATTGTAGCATTTTGTTGCTGAAGAAGGCCTTCTGCCATCCACAAGAAGACTAACTCCATCTCCTCAAATTCATAGTCCTTTGGCAGTATAGAGCAATATGCAAAGCACTGCTTCAAATGTGAAGGGAGATGATGGTAGCTTAATCTCAAAGCTGGGAGGATTTCACTGCCTTGTTCAGTTAAATCCCATATTTTACTATTCAATACAATTTCCCACTCATCGCCTCTTTCTTTGCACCGTAAAAGGCCACCGAGTGTCCTAGCAGCCAAAGGCAAACCTTTACATTTTCCTACAATTTTCCTACCAATAAACACCAAATTTGGATTTGCATCCAAGCTTCTATTCCCAAAGGCATGTTGTTCAAACACTGACCAACAATCATCATCCAATAGACGCTGCAATAAATGGTTTGGAATGGTTCCCATAATCGATGCAACATCTCTGTCACGGGTTGTTACAATTATCTTACTTCCTGGGGCTCCATCATTAATGGGGCTCTTCAAAACATTCCAATCATTGTATTTCTTGTCCCATACGTCATCTAAAACAATTAAAATCTTTTTTCCAACCAAATTTTGCTTTAGCTGAACTTGAACTTGATTCAATTCTTTAAATTCACAAGACTTGGAAGTAATAGACTCAAGAATTACTTTTGAGATTCTCAAAATATCAAACTCATCAGAAACACAGACCCATGCTTTCGAATCAAAATTCTTGTTCACTACTTCATCGTTGTATACCATTTGTGCAAGGGTGGTCTTGCCAAGCCCACCCATACCTACAATGGGAATTACGCTGACTTTGCTATCACTTGACTCATTGCTTAGGAGAAAATCAATTATCTCCTTTTTTTCCTTATCCCTGCCACATATGCGAGGTTCATGTATCAAGGACGTGGAGGGTGGTCTGTGCCAAGCTTTAGCAGATTCTCCTGCAACAATCTGTTGTAAACCAAGCCCACTTCCGCTTTCAAGAATATTTTTCAATTTGGTTGTGATTTCCTCTATCTTGGAAGTAGAACTCCTCGTAAAATCAGACAAAAAAGTTGTTGGATTGAGTCCTTTACAACATGTAGGTATCATGGCCCGTAGCTTGCTCCTGCTGGTGCTAGCTGCTTGAGACTCTGATGTTAACTTACGCCGCAAAGCTTCAGTGGCAAATTCATCCAGTATGTCATCCAGATCATAAGCCAAGTCTGTGAGTTCCTCCAGCCACATTTTCACAGCTCTATTTTCTATTTGTTTCCCCTCCGCATCAGCCAAGAATGCTTGAATTTTAGCTAATTCTCCACTCCATCTCTTGATGTGAGTATGAACTTGCTCCCGACGAGCAAACTTTAGTAGTTCAGTTGAGGCCAACTTCTCAAACAACACCTTAATGAAAGCAGCAAGAAAGATTTCGCCTATAGGCATTGTTTCCCTAGTGAAAATAAGGAAGTAAGAAACAATATTATATCAGATTTAGAGAGAGACACAAACAAACCAAGAAAAGCATGAGACTGAAAGTTTGATTGGTTTTAGAATGAATTCTTCATGGAGAGTAACAAAATGGATAGTTATGATTATTGCAGCTGCTATTATGTGTCTACATCAGGCATATTTTCTATCTAATCAAAACCAATGGCTCAAGTTTTTTTGGCGACTATTCCACACACCCAAGAGAAAAATTATTGGAAAAAAAAGAGTCACAAACAAAAGTTTCATATAAAATTCCATATAAGAATGGATAATTATTTAGTAGTTCAGTACTGTTCACGTTGTGATCCGCAAAGTGTATTTTGTAGTTTCACATTTGTCGGGGGCACCGTATTGATAATATCATAGGGTACTCTGAGACTACTTAATACATATACATATATATTAAGGAAAAGTCTAGAGATCCACCCTTATTCACCTAGAAAATTCTGAGTGAGTGATTGTGTAGTGGAGATTAATTTATGTAATATAGGAAAAAAATTTATTTTTTAAAATAATAGGAAACAATGTGTCTCTTTGAAAAATACATAATGAACACTACAACATATAAGAGTTTTAGAGAACAAATGTTTTGGTCTCCAAACATTTAGGGATCAATTTCTATCGTCACGAGGATAGTCGCTAAAAGGTCATCTCGAAAAGTAAAAAATAAAGCTTTTAGTGATAAAATTTTGAAAATGTCACTAATAAATAGACTTTTAGGGACAAAATAATTTGGTTTCAAAATGGTTTATTTTTTGAGAAAAAAATTTAGTCCCAAAAGGATAATAATTCATCATTAATGTCTAATTTTCATTGCTAAAAATATAATAACGATATTTTTCACAATAAAAATATTTGGTCCCTAAAAAATAATTGTTTCTAAATTTTGGTCTCAAAAATCTTAATTTTTTCTAGTGAAAATTAAATGCTATTTTTTATTTTTCACTAGTTACATAACAGGAATGCTCTGACACTACTCTTATTTTATCTATTTATTCAAACTATTTATAGAGCAACTCAAGACTCTCTAAATATAACTAAGTAAGAAAAAAATTGTTAAAATGGATAGTGTAGTAACTAGCTCATTGGAGAAAGTAAAATAGGATGAGACTTTGGGGTGTCTTAAATAAGTGCATTTTTTGACTTTTTAGGAAATATGAGTTGGGTATGGGTTGGGTTTGAAGTGATGTGATAGAGAAGTGATATGACTTAAATAAGATAATGTGATTTAAATAAGATAGTGACTTTTTGACTTTTGAATTTTTTTGAAGATGCCAAACTTGACCTAACTATAATAATAAAGAAGTGTCTTTTAAAGGACCCATTGAAAATACTCTAAGACAATGCAAATAGCATAAATACGTTGCCATTGAAACTTCCTTCCCAAACAAAAGTAATGTGCAGTTAATGAGGTCATTATGTTATAATCCAACAAAAATAATTATTGAAAGATAATGCATGGTCAATCAATTGCAAGATGTTCACTAACTATAAGCAATGAAGTCTGTATTTGATAGATTAATAGTTCAATAAAACAGATAAATTGTCCTTTAAAATACCATTGAGTTCGAGTTACCCAAGGGGTCACTGGAGGTTTGCTTGGTCATTAATTTCATGACCGTGCGATTAGTTGAGATACGAACAACTTGACTCGGACAACAGTTATAAAAAAATAAATAAATCCAATAGAGAAACTAAAATGACAATACTCCCATGCCATAACATTACTTTATTCCTATTTATTTAGTTTAATGTCATTGGATGAAAATTTGAAATAACCATTTGTAATTATAAAAAATTAAATGCAGTGTCGAGGCTTGTTAATCATCCTAATTTTATCAAGAGGTGATAAATGAACTTTTAGATGATGTGCCTAGTATAATAAGTTAAGACTATTGCTTATAAGAGCGGAAAATTCAATGAGACCGCTATACTGGTTATAGAATCTGAAGCTAAAAAAAGAAAAAAAAAAATGAAACTCTTTCTTCATCAAAAACTTGTTTGGTAAAATTGCGGAGATTATTATATGATTTTTTGAAGGGTAAATTACACTTCTAAATTTTTTTAGTTATATTACATAAATCACTCTATGTTAGCTAACTGATAAGTCGATTAACCAAGTTTACTTATGTCTAACATTTAATCCTAAAATGCAAGCAATACCTCTCTCCTCTTATTTATTTTTCACTATAATAATGAATGAACGAATTTATACATGATATGTGTGAATATATATATGTTTTTGTACAATGTACATATGGATTTAGATCCTATACATTACATGTTTGGAATTGAGATCTTCATTTTAATGCATAAACTTGTAACATACTGTTAAAATTCAAAATAATCCAACTGTAACCATTAAATTAATTTGAATTTAACTATTCTTAAATTTAAGAAAAAAATATGTTAACATGACTCTTTCACAACCATTAATAATGAAATAGACATTTCCATTTTATTAATGTGAGGAAGAGAATCTGAATTTTATTATCCTATTTGTACGTTGAGGTGTATATATCTTCTCGTGAATATTGTGTTTATATGTAATATAATGGTTTTTGACAGTGATACATTTAAATGAGATCTAGTTTGGGAGTTTGGAAGCTGTGGTTTCGTTTCATGGTGAAGATATTGAATCAAGTTAAGCCCAATCAATGATAGACCTAGGATAATATTCTAATATAAGAGAGGTATATATATACACATATTAACAAAAATTTTAAAAAGAAGATATGAACTATAATATTAATTTCTATAGACATGAAAGGTGGAAAATAATATGAAAAATATATATAAATAAATATATTTTCTTATATTCATGTTAAGTTACAAACATATATCAATTTAGAGACAATCTATTGACACTAATTGTGAGAAACAAATTGTTTTGTTATATTTTGTCTAAATTGTTAAATTTTATATTTTGAACCCCATAGATATAGATGTGGGGTCGTGCAATCACTTAATTATTTTGGAGATTAAAATAATATTTGGACTCCTAAAACTGTAGAAATTTATACAAAAATAAAGGTGGGCATTACATGTTTTGGCCATGTGAACCACGTTAGTTACTCTGCACATTGTGCTAATCATTTTTACAATTATATAATTTGATATTAAACAAAATGAATTTTTGTGTGTTGAGATTGCTGTTTTATTTAAAGTTGAATGTGGAACATTGATTGAAGGTTCAACTTAAGGATTAAACTAGGATGACTGAGGGATCTATTTATACATGGTGTTGGATTACTGCGAAACACATTTTTGCAGTTGCTACTGTGGGTATTCCCTATCCTTTCCCTTTGATTTTTGCTTCCAAGAGTCCATCCTTGTGAGCTTTAAATCCTTGTGTTCACTTTAGAACATAAATTCTAAGACTTCGAGTGTATTCTACTATGTTTATTAAGTTTAATAGTGAGTTTTAAAGGGAAAATCCTACGGACGCTCTCTTCTAATGGTGTGTATCATTTCTAAGGGTGTGTATCACATGTACTATTATAAATTAATGTAATTTTATTTTAAATTTTTTTAATAATAACTATAAAATACGTAATCTCGTCACAAATTAATGCAATAAAATGTATAAAACTTTATTATTCATATGACAAAAGTTTGTGGTTTAGTTAGGACATTTTTTGTTACACCAACCTTTTATACTTTCGCTCAACTTCCAATGCGGTACTTTTGTTTGGTATTAAATTCAATAACATAAATTAGGCTAAATTATCCTTTGCATCCTTGCAGTTTACATGAAATCTCACTTTAATCCTTTATTTTTATTTTTTTAATTGTAACAATCAACCCTTTACATTGTTTGTCATATTATAAAAATTTAATTCCCTCCCTCCCCCCCCCACCCCCCTTCTTTTTCTACTCCTCTATTTTTCACATTATTTTCTTTTTCTGCTATATTTTTAGAACTCATCACCACCAACCACCCCTCCCTACTACTCTCCATCCTTTGTTCTATCTCTTCAAACAAGATGACACTCAAACTTGACCGAAAGTATAAATAGAGTGCTTGTTGCAATTAAAAAAAAAATAGTGGTGTTACATATACCAATTAGCATATTAATTAATGTACCAACATATATTATGATATTACTACTTCAAAACTATAGACCCCACCAATTATACAAACTAAGGTCTCTAAAATTATGCTACATCATCCATTAGTTCACTAATTGATATACCAATTGCTACGTACAGCTTTATTCTTAAAAAACTACAAAGATCTAAGGTCTCTAAAATTATGCTATATCATCCATTAATTCAATAATTGGTATACCAATTAGTGCGTATAGCTTTATTCTTAAAAAAATAAGAAACCAAAGTGAGATTCAATGTAATTTTTAATTTGGTTAAATTACGGGGGCAAAAAAAAGAACTTAGAAAAAAAAAAAAAACTTAGGTTTTGGCTTTTGCAACAAAATAACTCTGAATTTTTTATTTTCTCAATTTAAACACTGAATATTTTTTATTTTTTCAATTTAAACCATACATATTTTCATTAAATAAAATGGATGAAAAAAAATGGTATTTTATGTTGGAAAATAATATTTTTTGGCAACTTTAATTCGAGATTAAAGTGAGATTTAACCGACAGTTGAGATGGGTCCGAGTGGGTTTGTATTATCTTAAATGAGAAGATTACAATACGGAAATAATGAGCCGAAACCATTGGATTGTAAATGAGAATTGTCTCATAAAGTGTGTATCAATAAAAGTTGGGTTTAGATTTAAACTTAGTCTTTGTTTGGACTGGACCTAGGCTTGGGCATGTGTTGGGTTTGGTTTTAGACTTGGACTTGGACTTAATTTTAAGCTTGGGTTGAGCTGTGCTGTGTTGGACTTAGCTTGTGCATGTGTTTGAGATTGGGCTTGAATTGGATTGTAACCCAACATCGTATCTGTTTTGCGACCCATCTGGTTGATTTATTCAAATATCATTATATAAAT